TTGGCCAAATGGACCGTTGTTAGTGGCCTTGATAAGAGAGTTTTCTCAGAATGGTAGGGACAGAAGCTAGACCACACTGAGGAGTAAGAGAGTGGGAATAATATGCGCAGACAACTCTTTTGAGGCATTTTGCTGTCAAGGGAAGCAAATAAAGGAGGCATAGCCTGAAGAGGATGTGGGGTTAAGGTAGGGGTTTGTTTTAGCCTGTTAGAGCTGCTATAATAAAATACCTTAGACTGGGTAATTTATAAACAACAGAATTTATTTCTCATGGTCTGGAGGTTGGGAAGTCCAAGGCACTGGCAAGTTTGGTGTCTGGTGAGGGCTTGCTCTCTGCCCTAAAGATGGAGTCTGTTTACTGTGTCCAACATGGCAGAAGGGGCAAACAAGCTCCCCCAGGCCTCCTTTATAAGGGCACTAATCCCAGAGCCCTCATGACCTAATCACCTCCCAAAGGTCCCACCTCTTAACACCATCACTTCGGGGGTTAGGTTTCAACATATGATTCAGGGATGGGGAGGACACAGTCATTCAGACCATAGCAGGGTGTCTAACATTAGTGTTCCTGTCGCAGGTATGTGTCCAGTGGGGAGGGAGAGAATGCTGATGCGGAAGAGAAGAGATAAAGGCTGGATCAAAGTCCAGGAAGTGATAGAGGAAGGGATCCAGAGTGCAGGTGAAGGGGTTGACCTCTGATGGCAGCAGAGAAAATAGAATGTGCTTACAGACGTAGGTAGCTTTGTAGATCTGAAGGAACATCCTCAGGAAGCTTGCTAGATCTAGCTTTGTAGATCATCAGGAAGACGAATTTTGACCCAGTGAGCTTTCTATATCTGGCACTTGAATAAAAGCTATCTTAAAAGATTATATTCTAGAATTCACCTTCACAAGTGCCTTTTAATTGACCAGGAGGCTATTTTTTATTTTTAAGTGAAGAAAAACTCCTTTCCCGTTTTAAAATAACAAAATCTGCCCAGAGTAAACCTTTATTTTCAGTCTCATGTATCAGTTTGTTCTATGGTCTCCTCTTTCACTAGTAAAAAAAAGTATTTTTGCTTACTTCCACGTAATTCTAAGAGCTAAGTTGTCTAAGATCCTGACACTTGGTAGTTCCCAAGGGAGGCAGACAGATTATTTTGCACAGTCCAGGCGGGGATAATATAATGCTTAAATGTTAGAAACTGAGCAAAACAATGAAAATGTGGGCTACGTATCATGAACAACTCTGAGACACTGTTATTTATATATTGTGGGAAAGCTTCCCTTACGGAAAGTGGTAGAAAATCCATCACTTAGGTTAGAACACAACTGTAAAGGCACTAAAAATGCATTATAGGGATTCATCCTGTAAAAGACCTGGGAAGTACATTGTATGGCCAAAGAGACCTCATTTCTAATTTTTATGACTCTACAAAATTACATTATGTTTGCAGAAGGAGTACTTTGGAGTAGAAGAAAAAGAAAGGGAGTGGAATTTCCATGTAAATGGTAACACTATCCACATATTTCTTATCCTTAAACTAGTAAGACATCTTTAAAAATCAACTCTATGCGAGAATATCCAAATGTCAGAAATCATAAAAACAAAACGAAACATGGGTAAGCTAGACGGGACATGAATTTATGGTAGGCAAAACAGTATGTGGGCCGGTCCTGTGACACACTTGGGAGAGTGTGGCACTGGGAGCGCAGCGATGCTCCCCCCGCGGGTTCGGATCCTATATAGGAATGGCGGGTGCGCTCACTGGCTGAGCGTGGTGCGGGCGACACCAATGGTTGCGATCCCCTTACCGGTCACGAAAAAGACAAAAAAAAAAAAAAAAAAAAGAATGGCACAATAATCTCTACAATATCACTACTCAGCAAATAAATACACAATCAGTACTTCATCTTGCATTTTTTTTTAATAATTCACTGTGTGCTAGGTATTGTATCTTTGTAATACAAAGAGATATTTGCGTGATAGGAAAAATATTCAGGGAAGGCAAGATTCCTAATAATTTCCTATTTGATTTGTGGCAGGCCATTTAATTTAATGATTTCACTTCCTTCAACCACAAAAGAGGAAAGACACTTTCTTATAACATTTGAATATTAAACAATTAAATATGCTTTGTAAAAGTGAATGCATTAGACCAAGAGCACAAAAAGAAAAAAACAGAAAAATTGGACTACATCAAATTAAATTTTTTGTGCTGCAAATGATACCAGCAAGAAAGTGAAAAGAAAACCCATAAAATGGGAGAAAATATTTGCAAATTATATATCTGATAAGGAACCGATGTTTAGAATATATAAAGAACTTTTATAATTCAACAATAAAAAGATAAATCACTCAATTAGAAATGAACAAAGGATTTGAATATTTATTTATTTTTTGGTGGCTGGCCAGTACAGGGATCTGAACCCTTGACTGAATAGTTATTGGTCCGAAGAAGATAAACACATGAAAAGATGCTCAACATCATTAGCCGTTAGGGAAAGGAAAAGCGAAAACACAGTGAGATACCATTTCACATTTATTAGTATGGCTGTAATGAAAAAGACAATAACAATTGTTGGTAAAGATGTGGAGAAGGTGGAACCTTCATACCTTGCTGGTGGGAAAGCAAAATGGTACAGCTGCTTTGGAAAAGTCTGGCCGTTCCTCAAAAAGTTAAAATACAACCCAACAACTTCTCTCCTAAGTATATACCCAAGAGAAATGAAAACACACATCCACACAAAAACTTGAACACCAATGTTTATAGAAGCATTATTCATAATAGCCAACAGGCAGAAAATATGTAAAGGTCCATTAACTAAAAATTGATAAACAAATTGTGTATATCCATACGAAGGAATATTATTTGGCATTAAAGAAATGAAGTACTGGTACAGTATATGCTACAATACGGATGAACCTTGAACACATATGCTAAGTGAAAGAAGCCAGCACAAAAGACCACACAGTGTATGATGCCCTGGATGTGAAGTGTCCACAACAGGCGAATCCATAGAGACACAAGGTGTACTAGTGGCTGCCCTGATGGAGGGGAAGGGCAGATGGGGAGTGACTTGTTAATAGGTTTGGGGGTTTCTTTTTGCAGCGATGAAAATATTCTGTGATTAGACAGTGATGATGGTTGAACAACTCTGTGAATATACTAAAACCATTGTGCGTTATAAATGGGTGAACTGTATGGTACGTGAATTATATAGCAGTAATGATATTTTTAAAAAGAAGTGAACTATTAACATGAGTGTCACCAGGGGTTCAAGTTCTGGCTTACACAGAATTCCTTTCCTGGACAGCATCATAATATGCAAAGCCAGCAGTGGTCTAACTCTACCCACAAATTCCTTACATATCTAGTTGTCAAGTTCCTATTTTAAGCATGTAGCAAACAAATGATAACTCTTAATCCTGGAATGCAATCTTTAAGATCACGGTTTCCTAAGCCATCCAGCACAGTATACTCCTCGTCTGCGGCAAAATCCAGAATTTCCAGATAGTGTTACTTTGACCATTCATCCTAGATTCGTGTATTATAAAATATGTGCATCCTTGTCCAGCTGGGGATGGATTTTATCCATTGACTCCAAACATCTTTCCTGCTTATGTTGCACGCACTTCGAAGTTATTTGCATTTCTCACCCATTTATACTTTCAAATTTTACCAATACTTTTGAACACACTTAAAGAAAACGATGACAGAAAATATCCCTCTAAAAGGACAAAGTAAAATAAAATTCACTGAAGTTCTGATGTGTTAGTTTTCTTCCATGTGGGCTTATTTGGAGGAGGTGGGAGAGGGCACCGAAATTTTTCACAGCATGAGCGGTCACCATGGAAGGTAACTCCGCAGAAAGGAGACCTTTCCCCTTTCCTTGCCCCTCGTTTTGGCGGCGGACGTGGCGAGTCCAGGCGGCGGTGGGTTTCAAGGGCCCCAGGTCCCTAAAAACCTGGCGAGCGCGGGAAGCCGGGGCAGACCCGGGGCGAGCGCCCCCTGCAGGCCGGGCTTCCCCGGCGCGCGTGCCGTCTCCTTCCCTACCCGGGGTCGACCCGTCGCCCCCGCGGGGTCGCCACGGCAACGCTCGTCTGCGGCAAAATCCAGAATTTCCAGATAGTGTTACTTTGACCATTCATCCTAGATTCGTGTATTATAAAATATGTGCATCCTTGTCCAGCTGGGGATGGATTTTATCCATTGACTCCAAACATCTTTCCTGCTTATGTTGCACGCACTTCGAAGTTATTTGCATTTCTCACCCATTTATACTTTCAAATTTTACCAATACTTTTGAACACACTTAAAGAAAACGATGACAGAAAATATCCCTCTAAAAGGACAAAGTAAAATAAAATTCACTGAAGTTCTGATGTGTTAGTTTTCTTCCATGTGGGCTTATTTGGAGGAGGTGGGAGAGGGCACCGAAATTTTTCACAGCATGAGCGGTCACCATGGAAGGTAACTCCGCAGAAAGGAGACCTTTCCCCTTTCCTTGCCCCTCGTTTTGGCGGCGGACGTGGCGAGTCCAGGCGGCGGTGGGTTTCAAGGGCCCCAGGTCCCTAAAAACCTGGCGAGCGCGGGAAGCCGGGGCAGACCCGGGGCGAGCGCCCCCTGCAGGCCGGGCTTCCCCGGCGCGCGTGCCGTCTCCTTCCCTACCCGGGGTCGACCCGTCGCCCCCGCGGGGTCGCCATGGCAACGCCCCGTCCCGCCCCGCAGCCCCTCTCGCCCCACCCCCTGTCTGGCGCGGCAGAGGGGGAGGGGTGGGGCGAGGGCGGGGAGAGGACGCAGGAGAGAGGAAATTGGCGGCGCGACGCCCGCGGCCTATTGGCTGCCGAGGCCCGGGGGCAGAAGCCCCGCCTCCCTGGCTGGGGTCACGTGATCCCTTTCAAAGATGGCCGCCCTGTTGTTTTGATGAATAATACTTGGTGGGGCGAGGGGGTAAGAGTAGGGGTGGAGGGTAGGAGGATTTACTCTTCCAGCGAGAGCATCGCCGTCCTTCCCCTCCCCCCTGCCCGGGCTCCAGCTTGGAGGAGGGGCGTGGCCGGCCTGTTTTAGGAGGGGAGGGGCTCTCCTTCCAGTGCTGGGCTCTGCCAGGGCGGCTGTGGGGTCTCCTTACCTTGGGGCATCTACTCTGCAGTCGAACAGTTCCCGCCAGGGGCAGCGGGTAGGAAGGAGAGCAGCATCTGCGGGAGGAAGTGCAGCTGCCGCGCCGCCACCTCGAAGACACTGCAGGCTCGGGGCACGAGACGACCTAGAGACCGCGCTGCCTGGTCTGGGTAACCTGGGGAGAGGGTAGTTAAGTGGCGCTTTAAGATAACCCTGTAGCAGCAGCGGTGGTGGCGAAAGGAGACTGCTCAGGGCATTGGCAGCTGGAGGAGGCTCTGGGGTGACTGGAGCGACCGAAGCCAAGGCAGTTCAGTGCCTCTCGTGTTCTTATTTTTTAACCTCTGACTATGCAATTCTGAAACCTCCCCCATTCGGGGGACTAGACAGCCTGATAGACACCTTCCACCGTCCTTCCTCCCGCTCTGGTCTCGAGAACAGAAGGATCTCTCCCTAACGCCTTTCACCATTAAGAGGAAAGCGATGGAGGAGCTGAGCGCTGATGAGGTAAGGAGGCGGGGGGACACCTTGAGGGATTAGTTGGCAACTCTTTGGCTCTTTGGACAGGGACGATACTGCGCCAGTGGTGCCTGGCCTTTGGGTTTGGGGAAGGAATGGAAATGACATTTTCCAGGAATGAAATGACGCCCTGAGAGGGCCTCCGGTTTTATTCTCCTTTATTTTCTTGCCTTCTTTCTTCATTCGGAACTCCATTTGCTGCTTTTCGAGTGTTCTTTTAGGGTCTGAAGAAGAGGAGAGCATCTTGAGGTGTTCATTCTTTTCTTTAGGGTATTTAAGCAAGAAAAGCTAGATTTATATGAAGTTAAAGCGTGTGTGTGTGTCTTCAGGGAATTAAAGAATAATTTCGGATGGAATCAGAATGTATGGTGGGTGTTCGTGTTGGACTTGAAATCGCAAATATGAGAATGCGTGGCCATCTTATTGTATAAATTGATTAAGCATACCTTTGTATTTGGGGGTGGCTTACAGACAGATTCTTTGACATTTAACAAAATATGTAACTTCTAACAGTGTAGAGAATTTCAGTTAAAATGACTTCAGGCATTCTCTTTCATTCTACCTTTTCCTAGTTCTTGTTCCTTTCAAACTGTGTTTTGCTGTAGTAGACTGAACAGGAATTGGAAGCAAATGACTTTGTAAACTCTCTCCTGTTCTCATTTCTGAAAGGAGCCATACAGATCCCCCTCTTGATGTTTTATAGATCGTTTAATAAGATTGTCGTAAAAACAGTGGCAATTTCCTCTACTGACTTTTCCCTGCCTTTTTACAAATTGGGAGCTTCCCTTTCAGGACCCCTGCCGGCCGTATCCTCTTCAACCTACCACCTCATTTCTTCCACTGGTTCAAACTTCCCTTCAGTATTTTGAAAGCAATCATCTATCAGGTTGATGGTATTCTAAGATTTCCATGCTCCAGTTTTAGCTACAGAGTAGTCAGTGTGTTTACATAGAGACTGAAATTTTCCAGGGATAGGGCGTGCAAGTGGTGGGTTAAGGGTCAGGTAGGAAAGGAAGCAAATAATTTGTTGGTTGTGATACTTGGTCGTTTGGAAAGTCAGGGTTGCCCCTTCTGTGTTACTTACTGACTTTGTTTTCCTCACATACTTCAGGAATGTAATCTTTTTTTTTTTTTTTTTTTTTAATAAAGATGACCGGTAAGGGGATCTTAACCCTTGACTTGGTGTTGTCAGCACCACGCTCACCCAGTGAGCAAACCGGCCATCCCTATATGGGATCCGAACCCGTGGCCTTGGTGTTATGAGCACCACACTCTCCCGAGTGAGCCACAGGCCGGCCCAGGAATGTAATCTTAAATGAAAAGAATATTGAACAGTTTCTTTCACCCACGTAGGAAATATCAAGAGATCTCCTTAGAGGCACTTTGTTTTGTGTAGCTTTTAAAAGTATTTCTGTTCTTTCCCATCTTTCTTTAATATTAATTCTAATGAGTAATTTATTTTACAGTAAAGAGACTGTTTTTTTTTTTTTTTTTTTTTTTTAAAAAAGATGACTGGTAAGGGGATCTTAACCCTTGACTTGGTGTTGTCAGCACCACGCTCACCCAGTGAGCGACCGGCCATCCCTATATGGGATCTGAACCCGTGGCCTTGGTGTTATCAGCACCACACTCTCCCGAGTGAGCCACGGGCCAGCCCCAAAGAGACTGTTTTTTAGTAGTGCTTTACTTCCAGCAATTACCTTTCTCCTTAAATAGTCCCTGGTTTGGGGCTGGCTGGTTATTTCAGTTCGTTAGAGCACAGCGTTATAACACCAAGGTCAAGGGTTCTGCTCCCTATACCCACCAACCACCCCCCACCCCAAAATAGTCCCTGCTTTAGAGGCTTTTACATACTTGAGTTTTCACCAACAAATCGTTTTTAAACTAATAAAGCATACAGACCAGTTAAAGATACAGTATAATCTGAAATGTGTCTCTTCACTTTACCCAGTCCTTGAGGAAGGTGTAACTTTTTTGTGACCATATAAGGAACACTTGTATCTTTTGTGGAGGAAATAGAAGAACCTTTATTAAGGCCAAAAAAATATTAAAATAATTTTGAAAAAATCACTAATATAGGATCAAAATAAATTTATCTTCAACAGATTAGTTGGCCTGAACACAAAGGGACAGTTTATTTTTTGCTGGCTGTCTGGTACAGGGATCCGAACGCTTTGATCCAAAGGGACAGCTTAATGACTGGTAATTTTACTCTCAGCAACACCTAGAACAAGTTGTTTTTTAGGATAAATCTGTCAAGCTTTTTTTTTTAATCCAATTTTTAAAGTTTTAGGGTTAGGTGAGTAGTTCTCAACAGAGCCATCTCCAAAGCTTTTGCTTTTGCTTTATTACTCTATTGGTGGAAACTTGTGTCACAGATATGGTGGGTGACCTTGATTTGGTTAGGAAGTAATACATTTATATCATTGAAAATTCAAGCATACATTTCAGGGCTAAAACAGGCAAGATAGTGATTTTTTTCAATCTAAATTAAGAAATTAGGTAAGGCAGGGTTTCATATTTCAACAAAATGAAAATGTATGAGAATGCAGTCTTATGAAAAAGACTAGTAGCTTTAGAAGATTTTACATTATAGGCACTTTCTGGTCCCTCTCATAGAGCACCTTGAATTCTTGTGCTTTTTTCCTCTTGTGCTTTGTAAGTAGAGTACTTTAACTTAATTGCTGTTTGTTATTTATATAGTGCGTTACAGTGAGTTCATTGCTCTGTAGAGCAGATCCATGACTCAGTTCATTCTCTTCAGGAACCTTCATTCCAAGGCATCATTATTTACATTACATTCATTCTATAGCCTACTCATGTGTTGTTTTTCATATACGAAGATGATGCTGTGAGTAGGGCAGGTGTTTTAAAGTGTTTTTCAACAGTGATAATGAGATTGCATTGAAATGATTTGCCTTTTTTTTTGGCTAAATTTTCTTAACTAATTCATCTGCAAGATTGTTGGTGGGGATTCGAAGTGTGGTCAAGGTTTTATTTTTATTTTATTTTATTTTTTTTCCTTTTTTGTCTTTTTTACTGACTGGTAACGGGATCTCAACCCTCAGTGTCACGCCCGTACCGGGGACCGGCAACGGGATCGCAACCCTCGGTGTTGCGCCTGCACCGCACTCAGCCAGTGAGTGGGAACCGGTCTCCACATGGGATCCGAACCCTCGGTGGGAGCACCACCGCGCTCCCAAGAGGCACACTCTCCAGTGCGCCACCGGGCAGGCCCGTGGTCAAGGTTTTAGAAGAGTGTTGTGTTCCTTCTCAAATGCAGAATATGTCATTTTGGACTTTTTTGGCAGTGTTGTGTATGTGCAAAAGGATTGACTTTTAATAACAGTTTTGGAAGCCTGCTCTGTGCCAGGCACTTTACTGTGTGATCAAGCAGGTACTATTTTCCTTAATTTACAGGTGAGGAAACTGAGATTTAGTTTAAGTAACTTGTCCATAGTGACCTGGCTTAGAGGTGACAAGGTTGGAATTCAAACCCAGGGCTCCTAACTCTAAAGCCCTTTTAACTATTTTACTGCGTAACAACTGGCCATAAATTCACCACAGCTTCTATGTAAATATCCTACTAACATTGACCCACTCTGCTTGATATGCGTAGTTTTTCTGTCGAAGTGTGGTTTTGCATGAATGTGTTCCTGATGTGATCAGGTCTTTTTGGTACTGACTTACAGCTTCCCCACCCCCACCCCCAATTGTTCACTAGACAAGCATTTAAAGAAATTATAATTTAATTGGGGATGGGGCAGACAGATAGGAACCCAACAATTACAATATAGTACCAAGTGCTATTGTGGAGATTTGCACAAGACACTAAGAAAAACAAGAAGGGACCCCTGCTGAGGCAATGTCTTAGTGAAGACTTTCAAGAAAAAGTGATACTTAAGCCAAGTAGAAGTTGCCTATAAAGAGCCCTGGGAACTGGCTGTGAGACTGGAGAGCTCAGGAAACAGCTCTAAGTAGTGGGACTGGGGCACTGGTTTTGCCTGGGGGAGTAGCAGGCACCAGATCTGGAAGGGCTGTTAGAAATGCTTAGGAGTTTGAACTTTCTCTGTAAGACTCTAACAAGCATTTGGGGGGTTTTAAGGGATTAGAAAGATGACTGGAAAGGGTGTAGAGGGGATATTGGAAGAAGATGGCTGCAGACCTGGAGACAAATTAGAAGTCTATTCTAATTAGGTTGCTATCTAGGAGCAAGGCAGTGGAGTCTGACTGAACTAAGACATTGGTGGTGGGAATGGAGAGGAGCAATCAGACACCAGAAATACTGAGAATCTCAGTTAATCCAGTTCTAACAATCAATTAGATGTAGGAGGTGGGGGGAGGAGAAAGGGAGAAGATGATCCCTCAGTTTCTAGCTTGAGAGAACAATGGACTGGGTTGGATAATTAATTCCAGGCAAGGAACAGATTTTGGCAAAAGTAGAGTTGTGTGGGCTGGCCCAGTGGTGCACTTGGTAGAGTGCGGCACTTGGGAGCGTGGCCGAGCTCCCACCGAGGGTTCGGATCCCATATAGAGACCGGTCAGCTCACTGGTTGAGCGCGGTGCAGGCGCAACACCGAGGGTTGCGATCCCGTTACCCGTCACGAAAAAAGACAAAAAAGGAAAAAAAAAAAAAAAGTAGAGTTGTGTGATGCAGCATTGAAAAAAATGAGTTGACTTGGAGACCTCCACCCTGGCTTTTTTTTTTTTTAATTCCTTTTTGTCTTTTTTTACTGACCGGCAACGGGATTGCAACCCTCGGTGTTGTGCCTGCACCGCGCTCAGCCAGTGAGCGGGAACCGGTCTCCACATGGGATCCAAACCCTCGGCGGGAGCGCCACCGCGCTCCCAAGCAGCGCACTCTCCAGTGCGCCACCGGGCCGGCCCTTTTTTTTGTGTGTGTGTGTGATCAGTAAGGGGATCGTAACCCTGGGCTTGGTGTCGCCTGCACTGTGCTCAGCCAGTGAGCGCACCGGCCATCCCTATGT